GTTGTATCTGCAAGTGGAGGATTAGGGAGATTTGTTAAATTACCTTCAGTGTGTTGTATCTGCAAGTGGAGGATTAGGGAGATTTGTTAAATTACCTTCAGTGTGTTGTATCTGCAAGCAGAAGGTTACAGAAATTTGTTAAATTACCTTCAATGTGTCCTATCTCGATGTTTGCAGGAGCTTATATTGGTATCATTCAAAAGCTATATCCTAACTTACTTAATAGCCTTTAGTACCCCTCCTTTTAACCCTATTGCCCCAGGTAATGTTTGTGTCCCACTGAATACAAACCGGCTCTATATGGAAGGTATGTTGTCAGTACCTTTTTCCTCTTTCGAAGCTCTACTAACATCAAACAATTTTTGGATTATTTAAATTCTAAACACCCTAACATGAACCATTGCTTAACCCTATCGCCCTGGGTTTCCTTTACTGCACACGACGCAAGGTTTTAGTGTCTTACATTCAAAATTTTATTATACTACTTTTTGTTTATATTATACCAATTACAGTAGCATAAAATCCTAGCCAATAATTTATATTTTAATAGTATACAAGTTCTAAGTTCTTAATTCTACAAGGCAATATTTAAAAAAATCCTGAATTTCAACTTGTGTGACCCATGTGACACATTTTTTCTTAGCATGTCATCATCCCTATTTTATCCACTACCCCTTGAAAAAGTATGAAATTAAACGTAAATTACTCTTTATGAAATCATTATTGCTCAGACAAACCATAATTTTTTAAAGTCTTCAATTTTGTTTGGTTACAGAGCTATCAAATAGAAAATCAGAGCACTCCTACCACACCCACCTGTCACATCCTCTCTTTCACAATTCATTGATAGCTCTCTCTTACGTTTCATTATATATTACCTATAACCAATAGAAAGTTAAGGTTTTCATCTATCAAATGATGTATTGTATAATGTTGTATTCTGAATAGATAATCGTCAATTTCACTCACAGTACAAGATTCGTTCCCGTGGGAAAGTTAACGACTAGCTTGGATGAATTTGTAACAGCTCTTGTCACATAGTTAGAAAGCCAGGAAAATTTTGAGAGGTAAAGGAATTTGTCTACTTTTTGTATGTTATTAGTCTATATTCTGTGGTGCATTATTTATTTAAATAAAAATTATTAAATGCATTACTATTTGTACTATAAATAGTTAGGGTCTCTCTTCAAAACCCAACGGTAAGAAAAAAAAGAAGATTAGTTAAGTATTTTATTTATTGTTTTTCATATTTATTCTTTATTTATTATTATAAAAGTAACTAAAATCTAAAAATACAGATCTTTTCAAGTTATTTAAGACTAGAATAGGTAAAATAAGTAATAATAAAATAATTAAAATGGTTCACGAGTCACACACATGAGTAGCTTGTAGTAGTACGTGGGTAATGTAATTCGATAGCATAACGTCAGCTGAACGTTTTTCAAGTGATTTAATACTTTTTATGGAATGAAAAGTAGTTATACATGGTTCAAAGGGCAATAAAATTTAAGTATAAATAGATGTATACTATTACAAACTTAGAGCTACTCGGGATAAACGAATGTAGTTTCATGTTACAATTTGAAGTCATTCTAGAACGAAAAAAAAAAAGTAATTAAGGTTTGTTTTTGTTTTGTTTTTTGTGGTTACGAGGTTAGTCAAATTGACCGATTCCATTTTGAGATGGAGTAAAGAAAAATAACAAATAAAGTACAAAGTTTTACTGAAAACAAGTGTCTGAAATGCATTTAGGAAGTTTCAGGGTTTACACTAAGGAAATTTGAGACGAGGAAAAGTATTTTTATTATAACATGAAAATTATTTTGCACACGGACTATTTTAAACAAATACTCAATATATTAATATATTCATGGACAAATCTTTATTTTAGTTTATTAAAAATAGTTCACTAAAAAATATGACTATATTGAGAATAATAAGTATTAAATCTATTTTAAACAAATACTCAATATATTAATATATTCATGGACAAATCTTTATTTTAGTTTATTAAAAATAGTTCACTAAAAAATATGACTATATTGAGAATAATAAGTATTAAATCTGTAAAGACTTTAAACGAGTACAAAAAGGTCATGTGATCGTTCAAATTAACCGAGCCTGTATTGAGAGAGTTAAATGTGCATATAGAGTTTTGATCACAAGTACACTCTGATGTCATGGACTAAACTGCATTTTATGTTTAAGCACTGTTAAAAAACGAGCTTTGTGTATACAAGTATCCATTTTAGCATCAGTTCTAAAAGTGAAAAATTGGATTAAAAACCAGTATTTGGCACTGCTATAAGTGTTTTGAAACAACTGTATACCCAATAGAAACTTATGAAGTAATGAAATATAAATTAAAAAATTATTGACTTGCATGTTTCTGTGAAAATATTGTTTAAGTGAGATTTTACATATCAGACCAGGATAAACTTTGGATGCTGTTCTCTAGGGTCCTGAACATCCCAATCCTGGTAAGCCATACACTGCACGTGGATTCCCCAGAAAATGTTATCTACCAGACACAGATAAGGGAAGAAAAGTTAGTGTTCACTTTGCATCTTACAGTATTTTGGAAAATTTGGATCTGTAGCTTATGAGCATTTATTTCTCAGCAATAATATTAGACAAAAAGGGTTAAACATTGATAAATTATGGCTGTGATATAACAGTTGTTACTACAAGTGCTGATTCTGTTTTACATTGACTACTGAATTGAAAGGATCTAGATGTAACCACTTGTTTAAACATTGTTAAATTATTGCTGCTGATATAATAATTACTACTAGTGCTGTTTCTGTACTGAATTGAAAGGATCTAGATGAAACCATATTATTAAACATTTGTATTGAAGACCGATTCTAATTGAGGTCAAAGTTATTTGAGTAAAATGTAGCTAGGTTTGTAAATATTACAGAAAAATGTTGTTTGAATTGTTTTTTTTCAGTATCAAAACAAAATAGCAATTATAATAGCTTACATGTTTTCAACTTGTTTTTAATGCTGTTTGAATTTCAACTTGTTTTTTAAGTCACATACTACAACATCACTCAGTCTCCAAGTAATAACCACAGTTTCGTTTTAGTTGTGTAGTCATTCTTCATTCCACTGTCAACGGCTTTATTTTTAGTCACTGCATCGACTAAACATCATTGTAGTATTTACTGAAAACATTCCACTTAATTTATTGTTTTTTTTCACTTATTAATCATTTGTCAATGCGGTAGGTAAGTTTTGTCGTTACTTTTACGGTGGCACTACCACGTGTAAGTATTTCATAGTTATTACACTTCATACTACACTAAAAGAAATTGAGTTAGAATGCATTGATTTCAAATTGTCATTTGTTTATGGTAAGTTTTGTCGTTACTTTTACGGTGGCACTACCACGTGTAAGTATTTCATAGTTATTACACTTCATACTACACTTAAAAGAAATTGAGTTAGAATGCATTGATTTCAAATTGTCATTTGTTTATGGTCGTACTGTAATGTATAGCCCAGGTTGTGACTAGAATGTAGCGGTTTGCTTCTAATGATAGTAAAATCTCGTATTACCAATTTATTTAAATACTGTTCATTACTGGTAGGGCACCCCCGAGTGGGATAGTGGTAAGTACAATGGTAAAATCCGGGGTTCGATTCCCCGTGGTTGACACGGGGGATAGCCCGATGTGGTTTTGCTTTAAATACGTCAAACAAACACTACTGGTGGTATCCGCATGTCACATTTTACCCCCAAACTACCAACTTATTTATATACTGTTTACTGTTGGTGCATATTGCATCTGGTCCTTAAGTTACTAATATGTTTATCTACCATTCACTATCTGTAGGATCCACATGTTACAATTTATTTATATACTGATTAATATATATTGGGTAATTTAATGTTTTTGCATGATACAAACGTTCATTGGAAAGAGTGATCAAAGAGCTTGGATGAAATCACTTATTTTCTGTGTAAAATAGTGCACCCTAACAGTAACTAGTGGAATTACAATATTGATATTTTTTGTTTCAATTTTGTGTGGGTGTTACTCGTACGTTATTGGAGACCCAGTATCGATCAATCATAGACGCACAAACAATTTGGTGCATAAATAATTTATAAAAATGCCTTTTTGAAAAAGCTGCTGGAATCCTTATGGACCACTCACTCACTGGTAATTCTGAAGCTAATATTTTTTTTGTTTTATAAGATTTAACTTTGCCTAATGTTCCCAGAATCTGGAATTAGAATGTTCAGCTAGAATTCATACTAACATAAGATTTTTCTTGCTAAACAATGATATTAAATCATCTTACCAGTTGGAAAAATTTAAATTTATTATTTCACTGAGGTTTTTTATTATTATTAAGGTTAAAAGATGTCTACACCCTTCATTATGAGTAATATTTTAAATATTATGTGATAACTTGTGTAATAGTTGTTTCAGTAACATCAGAATTTGATCAAGAAAATACACTTTCTTAGGTTTTAGAGCTCCTACGTAAGGCATGGGATCGTCGCCTAATATTTACCATAGCAACATCAGCTACTACCAGTGAATCAGATACCGTTACTTGGAATGGAATCCATCACAAAACAGAAATGAGTTCCAGTACCAAAGGCTATGGTTATCCTGATCCCAAATACTTAGACAATGTTCTTAAAGAGTTATCGGTGCAAGGGATCACAGAGTGATAAAACATGCTGAAAATTTGTGATATGTATATTTGATGCCAAACTTACTGCTTACTTTGTTCTCGGTATTTTGGTTCATATCTTCAAGATTTCATAATGATAAAGTGATTGAATAATACTTTTAGCTAAGGTTTTTCACGTACATTTCGATTACTAAGTGTACAAATGTATGACAGTATTCAAGTATTAAATGAAAAAATAATGTGTATTTCTTTGTTAATAATGTCTAGAATCACTAAATCCTTTGTAGCAAGAGATTGACCATAAGAAATAAGTAACATTGATGCTACTAATTTCATCTTCTGGATTTTTCAGCAGACGTGCTATGTCCGATAATATAAAGAAATTCATGCTACATATTCTTCAAAAAGTATGTAAATGTAGGCTCGTACGTATTCTCATCTATATGCACAACAGAGAGCTATTACCTAATGCCACTGCCACGAAGATTTTTGCACATGCCACTAGTCTTTAATCTAGCTCTCACCTCTACGTGTATTAACATATCTATGCCAGCCTATCATGTATCCATAATTAGACTGTAGCTCTCCACCAATAGGATGGTGACACATGAGCATTTGAATGAAAGCTCATTCTTTCCTCAGCCAGATTTATTCACTTATTTTTGGGGGGGGGGGGGAATTAATGGACTTTATGGACTATTTTTAAACTATTGGTGTAAACCATTCTTGGTGTAGTCTTTCGTTCGTTAATTTTTTTTTGATTATGAGAAAGAAAGATACCAAGTTTTAAACTTTTAATTAAAAGTTGTAATTCTGGGATACATTGTTCATTGTCAGTGATAAGATTTCTTTGACAGTACTATTTTCCTGTTGTTTTAACCAAGCATACACCTTTCATTAAGTGCTCTCCAGCGTTGTCGTCAAACCAGTGCCCTAGGCCTATGTGCCACTGACATACCAGGCCAATTTTTTACTCTCTTTTTTTTTGGGGGCGGGGGTCAAATTTTTGTTTCATCTGGATCAAAAATTCATGTTTAAACATTTCTCCCATCTTTCAAGGTTGTGATGCTGGTCAACGGCAGTCAGTTACTACTGCAATGGTGACAATAGGCACTATGATGTAGGGTTGGGCAATACTATAATTTTGTACCAGTGATCTACCATGTGATAATTTTAATTATTCAGTGAAGTGTAAAGTGTTAATAACACTTGAATAATGAATCAATCTGTGTCAAATTTACAGAGTATATTACAGTACATGGCAAAGTGAACATGATACAACAGCAACAGGATACAAAATTACAAGTAAATCAACAGCTGATGTACACATGCATGCATATACATTAGCACATGTACATACAAGTATACCATACAATGATACAAAACTTGAAATGTGTGTGTTTAGTAACATAAATGCAAATAAAATCAATGTTTTGAATGTTATCAGCAGATGTAGTCATGTCGCGAGCTTTTACCTCAAATTCACCAAATTTCTCACAAATATATGCAAAGTGTGCAATCAGACTGTTGTAGAGTTTTACTAATGTACAAATTTCAATCCTTGCAATGCTTTGTTCACGATGTTTATTTTTTGTAGAATGTCATCCCTTATGATGCTCATCGCTGCTATTTCTAACTGGCTTAGTTTCTTCTTTTTTACAGATCTTGCCTCGCTAACTGCTGAAGGTAGTGTACAAGCAGTATTTATGACATCTGTGAGTGCTAGACATATATCCTTATAATGCGTAACAAGGGCTTTTATAGCATCACTGCTGGCTGCCCACCTTGTTGCTTTTGACACTTTTCTTCTCCAGCAGGATAGCCCACCTTTGTAGGGAAGCCAAGAAGAAGTTTAGTCAACTGCCTGAGAGATAATGGCTGATTGGGCAGTTTTACATTCTGCCCACCTGTAAAACACCTTTTGCTCTGCCACTTTTACTGGGTGAAGAGTACTCCTTGCAAGAAAAACAATACGGTCTTTCACTGAGTCATGCCCCACTAGGCCATCCTCCATAGTGGGTGACACGTTTCATGGGTTTCCATTTTTCTGACACTATGATTTCAGAAAGGAGCTCATTTTTGTAATTTCTTTATCTACACCAGCTCTATCACCATGATATCACTGTAGGATTCTAGCTTTTTTGTTGTGCAGAGAGGTGAATATATACGTTTCTGAAGTTAATATTTTCCTTACCTGAAATTGTTCTACCTCTTTGTACAACCTCCCAATTCCATTGTATTTCTTTTGCTTTGTCAATGCTGAGCCTTTATTTCAGTGCTAGTGCTCAAGCATATTATAGTACGTAGAAGATGTATCACCCTTTTATTGATGAAGGACTATTGTCTAGCGGTGGCTACATCATAGGTTGGCATAGTACAAATAAGGGTGGAAGCTTTGTTCAAGGCTTGTAGCGTGTGAAAGAATCTTCATGGTAGTGGTGTGAAGTAATGGCTCTTTGTTGTGCAGAGAGGTGAGTATCTCTCTGAAATATATTTTCAGATAAGGAAAATGCAAGCTTCACTGTAGTGAGTAGAAGACAGCTAGAAACACCATACATATGATACTTAGATCACCACACTAAGAATTCTGAACTTGTTTTTTTTTATTTGCTCATGTCCAGTGTTGCTGAAAGGGGGTGGAATTCCCCAATGCCCTCTAACTCAGTGATGATAATACCAAGATGTAATCTGAAATTTCCTTTTGTCATGATGAAAGTCTGTTAACATTTAAAAAATAATGTTTTAATTATACAAAGAATGGTGTGGCCATATCGTATTGAATAATTTGCCCCTATTGTTTCTGTATTTTGACAATAAAACTAGTTGTTCTCGATATCTTTTAAGTAATTTCAGGGGTGTGATGAATGCTATAAAGAAGAAAAGTCTGGTGCTTGTAAGTTTTTTCAGCAGTTTTGTTTGTTCTTCATAGACATGTCTTTTTAAATCTTTTAAGAATAAATATTGTATCTCATATGTTAATGTTATTTCGTTTTGTGATAATGACAGTTACTTTAAAACAGCACTAAGACAACGAGGTTTTCATGATTATGTGAATTGGTAAAGGAAGTGTACATTGTAATCTATGAATTAAACTTTAGATAAATATTTGTTTTTCCATCAAGTTTTCATTGTCTTGAATATATCCTGACAGTTAAAAGCCACTAAAAATATAATAGTAACTGAAAAAAACACGAAACACTGTTTATTTGGTTTTTCACACATTCTTTGTAATTTCCTTCTTGCATATTTCAAACCAGAGAAGTTCAAAAATAACATTTCAGATCCACTCTTTGGCTTATCGTAAGGTGCTGACCCAAATCTCCAAGGCATTGACTTATGGGAGAAAAGAGTAGATCTATATATATATGTACTCCTGGTTTTAAATCTGTAATGAATAAGTTAAAAAGAATGAAAAAATTATATATATATATACACGCATCAACAGTCTGGTAAGATTTTTATCATGAATATTAGGCTTTCAGTGTTTTCTCCAGTTTTTATTAATCAAAACTATAACTTAGAATTATTTAAAAATAATGTAGATTCTGGCTTGGATTTACTAATTTTTCTAATTTGCAGTTCTAACTCTACTGTGTTGGATATGTGCTGAAAAAAATAATATTCCAATTAACTCACTTTCTAAAAGGATCAAGTGTTAGATATATTACCCAGTTTAGGCCCGGCATGGCCAGGTGGTTAAGGTGTTTGACTCGCAATCTGCGGGTCACTGGTTCGAATCCCTGTCACACCAAACATGTTCGCCCTTTCAGCCGTGGGGGGCATTATAATGTTATGGTCAATCCCACTATTCGTTGGTAAAAGAGTGGCCCAAGAGTTGGCGGTGGGTGGTGATGACTAGCTGCCTTCCCTCTAGTCTTACACTGCTAAATTAGGGATGGTTAGCGCAGATAGCCCTCGTGTAGCTTTGCCCGAAATCGAAAAACAAACAGTTACCCAGTTTTCAAAATTTTTGAATTTTTTTCTTTTTAGTAGATCTTCGAAGTTGAGCATCTACTTTAAGTAAAAATTGTATTACTCTTCAACTGCGTTGGGAAAATTTACGCTATAAACATAAAAAGAATTGGATAGTAGACAAGAAACATTATCTTGAGGAGAAATATAAGCTATAATTAATATAAAAACTACAATTCAGTATATGGTACATATATAATTTTATTCAAACTTTCTGTCACGTTAGCCCCCAGTGGCTCATAAGTAGGTTTGGACGCTTATATTGCTAAAAACTGGGTTTTGATTCCCGTGGTGGGCACAACACAGCCTATTGTGTAGCTTTGCGCTTAGCAACAAACATTTCTGTCATTTTTTTAAAAAATAATACATATATTAGTTTATCTATATACTTAACGTTAGCCTTACCAATTGGTTTAGATGATTTTTTAAACATGGTTCCAGTAGTGATGTTATCAAATCTTATTCTGCTGTTGTTTTTTTGTTGCAACTTAAATCATTTAAAATTTGCTTCTCTTAACCAGCTCATAAAAAGTAGAAAATTCGACCCCTCCAGAAAATATTTTCAGCATTAGCAATTTCAAATGTTTGGTAGAATTTTGTTGGAAAACTAGTGTGTTATCATGGAGTTATAGTTTGACATATTAGGTATAAACTGCAAATTATCTGTTCTTTATTTGCTAGTAAATACCCTTAAGGTTTCCAAGGTAGTTTTTGCAATATTATACGTAGCCAAATAACAATCATACAAAAGTGACAGTATTATGTAAATTTGATGTTCTGGTTTTAACTTGGAAACTAAATTATTAAAATTTGTCACTGAATCTGACTTGCTTGTTTTACAAGTTGTGATGTATTTTATACATTGTCACTCATGAATGGAACTTTACACATTTCTGACAAAACAATTCATTTGAACATTATGTTACACATAAAAACAAAAATATAATACCTTTTTTTTTTTTTACTTAATCTTTAAAATATATCATGAAAACTGGTTTGTGAAAAATGAAAATTTATAGTGTCGCTTACATTTTGAGTAACAGGCAATTTGTTCAGAAATGATTTATAGTATAAGTGTTTTTAAAACTTACTGAATGTTCATCGCTTTTAAATATTTTTCAGGTAGTAATTTTAACAGTTTTATTGAAACTAGAAGTTGAGAAGAAATGATCAATTTAAAGAATACAACTATAGTCGTGCTACCAATACCCTTTCAAGTCAATGTCTTGGTAGAGGCATCATTGGCTCTGGCATAAGCATCATGAGAGGATCAGGACAGTTCAGCCAATTTATTGAAATCCATTGTATTGCAGTGTTGGCTTCTGGTTTGTCCTCAGCAAATCTCTGCATGAGGCACTCATTTGATTTGGGTGGTCTGACCAAGGCACAACCACTAAAGGCTTTTTCTTCTCTTGTGACCTATTTGAAATTACCTTTGTTAGGGGGGCATGATCTCTCACATGCAAGTGATGGTTTATCATCTCACTGGAAACCCCCCAATAAACTAGTCAGTGAAGATATCTTCATGACCTGCCAAAGCCATTGTAGGTAAGCTTTACTCTGCAAGTTGCACAGGTTATCCACATAAGTGGCTAAGATATCTTTGGTTCCTCCTCATCATATCCTTGAACTCAACTTGATGGATAACTTGATTTTTCATCGAATTTATTATTTTGGCAATAAATGTCTCAAAGTTTCATCTCACTCACCTGCTTGATGAAATTTAGGGCCAGACCATTTAGACTGAAGATCAGGTGTCGTGCAGCTTGTTTTGGAGAACAGCCATTCCAAGCAGTTACTTTCCTGAAGCACTTAAGGAAATAGTCCAAAACCTCTTTTGTTGCACCTTTGAATACTGGGGTGAGATCTGTGATCAGAGCTAGAACCTTTTCCATATAAGCTCTCAGCCATCAATTAACCAAAATGCCTTCAACATTGTGAATACAGCACTGTAGGAATGCTCGGGGATTCTGACTCTTGTATGAGTAGTCAATTGCTGTCCCAGAGCAATGAGTTGATGTTGGCACTGCTTGACCCAGTATTTTCTGTGATTTATGGTCACCTACTAGATTGGACGGGCTCAGAACTGAGCCATGCTTTACCCTCTTCATCATTTGGTGTTATCTTACCTTCTAGTGAGATTGTTTCTGTTGGTAAATGCCATTCATCAATGGGACCTCCAGTCTGTCTTTGATGTTCTGGCTGATTAAGGTCTGGGAGTCCTATATAAATCATCTCATCCAGTGTTGGAATCACCAAATGTGATGACCTTAAGGGGAAGAGCATGGACAGCTATTCTAGGTGGACCAGACATCGGTAGATCTTATTTCTGAAACACTGAAAACAAAGAGAAATATATTATGGACTATAATAGCACTGATGGAAGTCTTATGTACAGGCAAGGACTTCTCATTGACCTGGCACTTCTCTCGGACAACCATTTCCTTTCAGTAGCCAACTCTTCCAATTGGTTGTAAATCCTTTGAGTTGCGGAAAATGGATCCTTTATCAAACTTGTTAACACAAGAGTTGGAGTAAAGGGCAACACACGTGCCAATACAGAAAACAAGAAACTGCAATAAGATATCCTGTGGTCACTGCAGTAACATTTTCTTCTTTGTATCTACTGAGTGGTATTTGCAGGTCAAATTGATTTTTTTTAGAGTGACAAGATAGTTCTGCAGTATTATGTGAGATTTTTGACAATTCTGGTTAAGGAAATAGTCACCTACAAAAGTTCTAATGTTTTCAAACGAGACTCAAAACTCGAGCGCTTTCAAATAGTTGACTATTTTGAAGAAGAATAGTCAAATATTCGGAAGCGCTCGAGTTTTGGGTCTCGTTCGGAGATTTGACAAGATATATATTGCAAAGTATTTCTGTGTTTGTGAGAATGAAGTAAGGAGACTGAACACAATTGTACAAAAATACCTGATCATGACAAAACCTTGTAGAAACGTTGTACATTTGCTGCTATGTTAAACTTATTAAAGTTTTTCTTCATTACCCATTCAAGCTGTCTCCAAGCATTACATGGTATACCTGTTTTCCACATCACACTACCTACGAAACGAAGAGCAATGTCAAAAGTAGTTTTGATAAAGGTCGTTACACTGCGATTTTATATCATCAATTGGAACATCGCTCGGGCTTTTTCACTGTACCAAGGAAGCCCAAGCGATTTATTCGAGTGTTTATATCAATTGTGGTTGTCACGTGACTTGCTGATTTGCATATTCAAAATAGCTTTAATACTACATGTGCTTTTGCAGTGTTACCAAAAGTGTTCTTTTTCAACAGTAAATAAAACCAAAATTAAAAGTAACAAGTATTTTTTTATTTCTTGCTTTTGAAGTTCATATGTCATGCTATGTTGTAGCCTACAGAGTGCATAATTTTTCTCGTGATTCATGGTATGCGCACGTTTTACTGACATCATGACATTACAAAAGACAACGTTAACTATCCCGTGATTGAAATCATTTTACGTGTACTCACTGACTGACAGACAATTTACTACTGCATAGTGGTTAAAGCAGGTGACCCCCTCCAAGCGTCCTAGGCCCCTATCGGGGAAATATCGTTGTCAACCCTATGTGTAACGCTGGTGTAACAGATTCATAAAAGTTAGAAGTTCTGGACACGTCTGATTCTCATGTTATTTTGCTGAAATCACAGACGTGTTTATCACATTACGTTCGAGGCCTTAAGTAAAACTTATCTAAGTGCAAGTGATTTAATTACTTTTTCTTTATTTTTCAAAAGAAAACTTTGCAGCAATTGTAAGGTTGTATAATCTCTGGAAAAGGATGAAAAGTAGCTCTAGCTTTTCGAAAATAAGAGGACGGGTGTGTGTGCTTCAAGCTCTAATCTGGAGCTGTTGATAAATTTCAGTTAAGAAAGCTGTGAGGCTTCACAACTGGATAAAGGCTAAGACATTTCTTTTATAGAGTGATTTCGGTGTGCGTAACTGATTGTGCCCGTTGACGTCACGAAGGTACATAAAAGCTCAAACTCCAAGACCATCAAAGTTAACAGTTATTTCAGTGTTACTCATGGGCGCTATTTAAAACAAATTTGTGATTTTTGTAGTTGGCGTAGACAGAAGACTAAGTAATTTGTATCAATTTGTGCACTGTAAAACCCTTAATGACAATTATAAACGATTTGCCGTTTAAGGGTTTTGATGTTGTTGTTACATATGACTATGATGCGTGAAAGGTTTAAAGGGCATGGGTAAGTTTAAGCCTAATTCATCTTGTGAGATGCGGTTTGATTGGATGACTCATTTATGATGACTGACACTGAAATAGAGATATTTGCAGCAGATGACGTCATGCTTTTAACAAAGCGAGGTTTACACTGCGGAAAATATTGAAATAGGTAACGATGTTTGTACAGAAATGAAAAGTGAGTAAAGTACGTGTTTGTAAAGTATTCATTTTGCTTTAAGAATGTACTAGAATCAGATAATTTTGATATTTTATTGAATTTATTTTAAAATATTGTTAAAAAGATCTGGATAAAAATCACTGCACAGTTAAGTTTTACTTTTTTCTAATTACCAACATTATTCTGACGTTGGTTCTATAATGTAAGCTCTAGTTTAGCATTGTGTAACTGCAATTTTAAGTCCACAAAAATTTAGTTAACCAAAAGAACAACATATTATCCAAAGTTATGCAGTAGGAACTCATCATTTTTTTTAACAACCTAGCTTCATCTGAAGTGACTTTAAAGATTTAAAAAGGGAAAAACAATTTAGGGAAAGAGTTCCATATGGCACCCCCACCCAAAAATTGTAGAATTGCCTGGATAAAAAAGATTCTGAAAAGGGTTTATTTTAAGGAGCGTATGAGAAAAATTGGGGCATGGCTTTGACAAGCATTTGTGTGAATACATGTGGAGAACATTATATTCTGATAAAAGTAGCCTTTTTGATGCCTTTATACAAGACATTTGTAAAGTTTATCTCCAAGAAGATTGTACATCTAATTAATGAAGTAAGTGGTATAATAATGTATTAAAATTATCAGATCATACTATTAATATGATTTATTAATACATAATATTACTTTGATGAATTTTTTTTTAAATTGAGTGGGGTGCCATATGGAACTCTTACCCAATTTAGCAAAGGTATATGTACACAAACCCCAAAGAAAAAGTTTGAATAACTCAAGATATTTACGATACACCCTGCTTACCAGAATCCATGTTACAAAGTAAAAAATTGTTAAAATTATACCTTTTATGTACATTATGGTAAACTACTTACAGTAAGCTAAATTGTTTGTAACAAATCATACAGTTTACTTCAGTATATAATTTCATGTGATAATGCTTTCTAAGGTGCACCAGTGGCTTCTTAAGTAAACTTCTTTTTTTTTTTGGCATGATTTAAAATGTAAAAACTTTTTAAACATAAAGTAGCTAAGAAAAGAAATGTAATTTTTCTGAAGTGTCTGTTTGGATCAGCTGAGACCTAACTGGAATGTTCAGTTCCATTGTGTTGTAAAGTTAACAATGAAATCTCATAACCTGATTGCAAAAAATATATTTGAAGTTTGAGTGTTTTCCAAGAAATGCAATGATTGTGACCTGTGTATGTTTACAATTTATTTAGATATGAAATTTCAAGCAAATGCAACTTAATGTCTTGTTGCAGATAGAGGGAAAAGTTTCTGCTATGATTGTATACCGTAATATTATAAACTGGGGTGAGTGTAGTTATAAAATATGTACCAGAATACTGACTTTAATAAGTTTATACTGTAACTCAGTTTTATTATTATCCCATGTTAAGGACATTAGTATTGGCCCTACTTTAATTATGACATTTTTTCATAATTATTTGTTAATTTGACAAGACCCCCTCCTACAAAAACTTGTAAACTCATTGTTCATAGGTTTAATGGTCTAATTGGAGTCTTGATGTGTACGCAAGTGTTTTTATTTAATATAATAAAGTATTGAGTACAGAAATATGTTTGAGAATGTTTTCATGATGATAATAACTCAAACAAATGAAAAATTAACTCCTTAAACCTAAGCATCTGGCCAAAAATCCTGATTTACCTATCGGATGGTGACACTAAATGTTCAAGAGCAAGAGGTTTGAGGCTATTTACTCAACAATGCATCATATGGGTACCCCTGATGCTGAAGGGAAAAACAAAATCATTAAAATTGAAATTTTATAAGGTATGATGATAATTATTAGGACGTCATGAAAATAATTCCGGCAGAACATGTAAAAAATTACAGGTTTAAAAAGTTAATTAAATTATTTTAATGAAGGAAGAGAGATTTCTGATGAGGAAAACAAGAAACTGCACTGTGTTAATTCTTTAGACTGCTGGGTAGACTGGTAAAGTGTTTTGCTTAAATACACAACAACATGATATGAACCAACTTTAAACGTGCAACCATCCAACTACTAGTCCAAAGTGCTAAGCCACTAACCCATACGGCTCAATAAAAAAATAGCTCATTAATCAACTTATTCTTTATCAAAGCCTTTTAAATTTACAAGGCCAAAAATATAATCTGCTATCCAGAATTCATACCAACTTCTTAAGTATGCTGCTAAACCGCCTAAAGATAACAAATGGGAGAGAGAGTATAATGTATCAAACAACAGTGACACCAATATATTGTATAAAATCAACCATGTTATTACCAGGGTATGAAAAATTATTATGAGATTTATTGAATGCAGTACAAGCTTTACAAAATATAATCAGTCAGGAAGTAAATAGTGCCAAGCGAGGAGTTTCTAAGGAAATAACTCAATTTCTATATCAAACTCAAATACAAAACAAATAAATTTGTTATTAATAAGCTATACAAAATGATGATAGTAATAATAACAAATTGGAGAAAAAAACAGGAGAAAAATGTAATTTGTAAGATTATTTAAAATAAAAGCATTTGACACTTCTCAAAGAAATAAGATTAAATCAAAATAAATGATAATTCAGTAATACCTCTTAACAAATCAAATACCGTATGTATCACAGTTTCACAAATCTCTTATTTTCGTGCCAAACCACGAGGTCTCCTGGTGAGACAGCGTTAAGTCTTCGGTTTTACAGCGCTAAAATCAGGAGTTCGATTTCCCTCAGTGGACACAGCAGATAGCCCAATGTGGCTTTGCTATAAGAAAACACACACACACACACACCAAACCGTGAGATTACGTATCAGATGACTATCTATGTAACATTTGTTTTATATAATCAAACAAGAGGGTAGTATTCATGTGTCACTGCTAGGGGAATCTTGTATTGGTGTATTAATATATAGACCACTTGGTTAATGTTTAATATATATACACAAGGAGGCTGGTGAGCTACCATTTATGGGAAATAAAAGAATAGTAGGAAAAACACATAAATAATAAAATCATAACTATAAATGATATAGAAAGTGCTTATTCATAAGAGGATTGTGTGTGATAGGAATATATTAGGTCGTCAAGAAATTAATGTCACGTTTTTGAACACTTTCATTACCCCCCCCCCCAAAAAAAAAAACCACAATTTATATAATAGTTAAACGAACCGCCTAAACGTCACGTTAGTGTAGCCTATATAATTTGTAAAGTTTAGTATACTCTAATCCCTTATAGACTATTTCATTTAATGAATGTTTTGTTTGATATATATATATATATAAGTTGTTCAGGTTTTTTCATCTAAAAAAAAGCGACATTAATTTCTTGCATTATTTAAGTCTGCTGTCAACCTTATGTTATTAGTCCTAAGTAAAGTTATTATAAAATTAATAAAGAAAACATGGAATAAAGATATTAATTGGGAAATTTATACTTCTTACTTACAAATATTAAGTATTGATTAGAGGAGTAATTAATTAAGATATATTGTTCTTTTCATTTTACTTTCTCCCTCTTCCATGTTCATTACAGTATGCCTTTTACATAATTGTTTTCCATTATATAATTTTTATCTGATTTTGTTTTGTTGGTTTTATCAATTATTCTAGCTACGTGTGCTGTTAGTTAATCTCTTATTGTTTATTTTTTTCACTTTATAATTTTTATTAGAATAAACTTTTTTTTATCATTTCACGTTTCTTTTTTTTTAATTTTAGGTAATACTTTTAAGAGTTCTAAAGAATGACATTCACTAAAACTTGGCAGTAATACCAGTACATGGTTCCTTCAGCTTTTCCTGCAAAATATAAAAGATTCTTTGTGATCAACCAAATTAAATAATCCAAAGAGTACACAACAAAATGGCAGCAGTATCAGAATTGTTCCCAGTAGCCTATCCTACACCAGAAAAGATAGATGTTGGTAGGCCTCATTCTGCTTCAGTGCACCTCAATTCAGACGTTGTATTGGAGAAAATTATGAAAGGAAGACCAAAGTTTAAAAATGAGGATTCTATCGAAGGGAACAAACTCCACAGACAGCTCAGAACCTTTAAAAGTCAGTTGCTTTTTCTTCAGGCTGAACATGCAATGATGTTAGAAGGACTTCACGACGAAATAAATCGGCTGCAGACGCAGTGTAGAGGTGAGTTGTTGGATACTTGTTTTGTTCTGGCTAAATTGTAGATTATATAGCATAAATCCATTCTAACAATACACAAAAATGTACGGTATAATAATAATAATAACAATAAATATTAATGTCTAAAGCTCTTTTTTTGCCTCACAATAAACAAAGTAGTTAACACTTTCAATAATGGTAATTTCAGACAATTATAATGCAGTCAAAACTACAAGTTAGTAGTTTTTTCAGGCATATGAAACAACCTATATGTAGCTTGATCTGTAAATTGTTGTTTTCAGTGATCCACTTTGGAAATAAAATTTTCCAAACAAGTAACCATAGTTCAATATTTTCAGAGAATGTATTACAGTTTTGTTTTTCACACCAACTTAAATGAACCTGGCATGGCCTGGTGGTTAGGGCACTAAATCCACAATATGTAGATAATGGGATCAAAACTTATCACCAAATATGCTTACCCTTTTCACTTTAGTGGTGTTACAATGTAATGATCAATCCCACTAATCACTGGTAAAGAGTTGGTGGAGGTCGATCTTTACTAGTTGTCTACTCTCTTGTCTTATCACTTCAAAATTTGGGACAGCAGATAGCCCTCACAAAATTCAACAAAAGCACACAAACAAGTAAACTTATGTAGTTTATTTTTCTTATTGAGTTTTAAAACTTTATTCATTTCAAAGTTAATAGAATTAATCCATTTTTTGAAAGATCCTAATATCTAATGGCCATGATAATTAGAAATCCATTCATTTTTTGCTATAGACACAATAAGTGCTAATTGTCATACAGGATATCATCCCACATTATTACCCCTTCAGATAATTAACTCACCTTAGGCACACTTCACAGGTTTGGATTTGCTGTTTTTACTGCAGTCTTTCCTTTTGATGTTAATTTTTACTTGACTTTTTTACTTAATACTTATAAGTATTAATTTTGTATATATATGTATGCATGTATATGTATAATTTTGCTTTTCCATAAGTAATGTTTCGTATAATGTGATTAACTTGTGGCCATAGGGTATGCTGTCATTTCTAGCATGTTTTCATGCAATACCACAAAATGTTCCTTTTACTTTAAGCTGTGGATGCATTATAAGAGTGACAGTCAATCCCTTAACATGCATGATGGGTTGTAGGGTGCTGCTGACTGGCTTCCTTCCCCCTGATATGTAGTTAAAAATTAGGGATGGTTACAGATACCCTTAGCAACTTTGCTGTAAGTACAATTGCTAACATGTTTTTCAAGTTTAAAGATTCATATTGCTATGAGAGAACACAAATTTATTTAGATCAACAAAGTATATTAGGTACTAACTTGCTAAATTATCTAACATCTTTGTATTCTAAAAAAAAACAACTGGTAATCTCAAGGTTGAGTGTAGCATACACGCATACACACTCATTCTCTGTAAAAATTAGAGGTTTGAGGACCTAATGTGTGTGGAAGGAAAGGTATATCAGGGATCAAAATATTACATTCCCAAGGGGTATCATCTTTTTAGCTGGCTTTCCCGCTCAGGAATGCATGGTCCATCCGTATTCTTTTAGTTACGACAAATGAAAGTGAACATGTTGCATGGATTAAATATAAAAAACAATTCATGAGAAAATAGAACTTTACACGAGGGAATGTAATCTTCCTGATAGCTAATTTTATTTCATTATTTCTATCCCTGTATATAGAATTGCTACAGATGAATTGATAGAGACATGACAATGTGTCGCATTGAAATGAAACGCTTTATTACTGAAGGAACTGAAAAAAATTGGCTGATCATGTTAATGAAAGGATTAAGGCAGGATATTGAAGTTAAAATGTAAAATAAGTGAGTGAAACTGTACATGAATGGTGAAACCAAAATAAGGGACGATTGTATTTAACAATAAAAGAAAGATAATATGAACTTTACCAATGTTAGGGTTAAAGAGTAGGCTGACAGCAGGCACTAGCACAACAAAATAAACGGACAGAGGACTTCATAATGAGCGATGGCTCTCTTGGATGAAAAAAAAAAACTGTCTTGCTTTAAAGTTGGAATGACTCTCATCCAAAACTTTATTCATAATATACATTAATTCTCCAGCTAACCAATCAGAATGCAGAACAGAAGTATCTTTGTTCCATGTGACATTAGCAAGGTAGTCCTCTATATAGCAGGAAAAGTAGAATATAATGCAACCAAACGATGAAACAGTAGATAAGTTTCTTGATGAAGCAGTCTTCTTTGTCATGATTAGTACCATTAATATATAACATTTCTTCTTCATCATGATTAATACTATAAAATCTTAACACAATTCTGCTTTATTATGATTAGTATTATTAAAACTTAAAATTCTGCTTCATCATGATTAGTATTATTAAAACTTAACATAATTCCACTTCGTTGTGATAACACTTATTAAAACTTAACACAATTCTGCTTCATTATAATAGTACTCTTAAAACTTAACACAATTCTGCTTCATTATGATTAGTATTACTAAAACTTAACACAACTCTGATTCATTGTCATTAGTATTATAAAAACTTAAACTCTGTTGGTAAAGTCAATTCTTCCATCATCAAGCCTCACAGTTTTCGTTCAGTTTTTATGACAGACGTGTTTGTTTAACCATTATGATTTAGTAAGCTGAGTTAGAATAAATAGTTAGATAAAAATTCCAAAGATAGTTATTGTCCATATAATATATAAATGTATGTTGTTCATTGACTGCATGGAATTATTTGTTTTATCCTTGTTTCCAGAGCTTCAGTTAAGACTTGTTACAAAGGATTCCCCATCCATGTGCCAAGGTAACAAAAAAATATATCGATAGTTTAATTTATTTTCATCACTGGCAGCAACAATTATCCATTGATATAACTAGTTTATTGGTTGATTATCTGATAAGAAGGAAGTGAAAAAAAAAATTGTTTTAAGACAAAAAATTTTAAGTGTGTAAATAAAATGTGATCTGTGTTTTTAACCATTTTCCTACTAGCATCATTTTTGATCTGTTAAATATTTATAAAGTTACATACATTATCGACAAAAATTACAGTTGGAATTTTTTTTAAAGTCATTTAGTCTTGATCGTTACTCTCTTTCTTTACCAAGTTTCAATAATTTGTTTTGTGGGCTTTTAAAACACCGCTGCTCATGGCTAGGGGTTAAAATGGATGTAATATCTATAGGAAATGGACACGAATGAATGAATTATTTGTACCTTCTTTTACAGTTAACAGTATCTTCACATATTGTACTGTCATTAGGTGGAAAACACTTTGGATAATTTAGTGACTTAATATGGTATCTGTAGTCTTAAACATTCAGTTTATCATTCAGCATAGTCTGAGTTTTGAATATAACCATCCACTGAATTCTTAGTAAACAAGCTGAAGCTACACGTGCGTGACTTCCGGGAAGTCGACTGTTTGCAAGCACACATTCAACAGACAATATGGAACTGTTCGTCCCTATTGCAAGCAGCCATTAATTTGCTCTGTTAGACAATTGGACATTCAGCACCCCCCATTTGAGATGGTGCCATGTATGAATGCATCGCTCACTCTAACCACGGTATGGCCGTGAATAAAACCCTATAGTATGCTGTTCACCATCCTAAGTTACGCGATATATTGAAAAATCGTTCTGATTACAGATCGCACTTTTGGGTGGGGGAGACAAGTATCCCTTTGTTAAATAATGTCAAGATTGTTTTTAGTCCAGTACTGTAAAGTTTATAAGATACTTTTTATTACTAATACTTGAGATAACCAACATGCAAGTTATTATAACCATCAGATAGGGTACAATATACTCAGTACAGGCAAGAAATCAAGCTAGTAGCCAAAGTGGGGTCTCGGACATTCCAGTCATGAGGAAAATTAACTTAAGAGACAGGCATCCATTCCCGGAGCTTACACGATGCATCGGGATTAATCTTCTGCTAAATGTATAGAACAGATCCAATTAAAACTGTAGAAATCCAGCTATAGGCACTTTACCCATCTGTTAATACTTAGTCTGTTAAAGTTTTCTCCACAAGAATAGTGTATTAGGTATAGCTTAACTTTACTTTGTTTTAGCCTGTTAACCACCGAGGTCTTGGACTCGGTGCCACATTCAGTCAGGTTGGCTGAGACATCACATTGAAACACGAGCTGTAGAATTTAGGTTTCAATTCTATAAAAATATTTCCTGGATACTTTGTCTTGTTCTTTCTTTTGGTAAAAGCTACTTTGGGGGAGAAATTTGTGGTCGTTCTAGAGTTAATTCTAGATGTAAGTAAAGCTTTGTTAATGTTTTGAAGAGAGAAAACTTACTTTATAAACTTGTTCCATTTAGTAATATTGTTCATTCTTAATGTATTTATTTTCAAGTGAATGTCACTAAGTTCTTTACCACCATACTCTGTTTAATTATTTTTACTCATCATTAAATAGATATGATGTATTTCTTTTGTGTTTGTCTTTAGTTCTTCATGAAAGAAAAGTTACAGCTTTAGAGTCTGCAGTTAGTCAGTGGCAGGAGAAGAGCAAGGAGCTGTCAGATGAACTTGAGATCTCCATTCTATGCAAAAATAATCTTCATGAGCAGATAAAAGTCCAAGAATGGCAATTTGAGCAGGAGTTGGCATCTCGAGATGAAATTGTTTTAAACTTGCAGAGAGAATTGGACTTAAAATGTAACACTATTTTGCAGTTATCTACACATGTGCAACAGCTGAAGGAACAAAATATTTTCAAGCGTATGTCTTTAAGAAGATCTCAGCTCCCAAAGTGTGATAGCAATCCGAAGGATGACTGGAAGCTAGGAAAAGCAGTAAGACTCTGTGATAAAGTTTCTCCTTTCAAACAAAAAGATGGAAGATTTTTTCCCCCACTCCAAACGGCTGTTGGGAGCCCAGGTCCTTCCAAAATGGGTAGGTTACAAAGTTTGTCGGGGAAGTCAAGTGAGAGTTCAGATGGATCTTTCATGGATTCTCTGGAAGATGAGCAAATGTCTATTGATGATTCTCGAAGAGGTAGCATTTCTTCTTCCCAAAGTAATCTCCGTATCACTAGTCCCAAGATTATAGCAAATGACACTCAGTCATTTGATTTGAAATTGCCTCCTGTATCTCACTTGAAACATGCCATTACAACTCCTAATAGAACATTTGTTCGACAACAAATTAAGATTAATTCAAAAGCAACAGGCAAGTCTTCTGATGTTTTAGGCATTGATAAAATTTCTCATCCTTCCATAGAACCAAAAACTTTCAGAAACACTTGAAAGATTTTACAGTCTCTTTTACATTTACTGTATGTTAAAGACAAAGTTACTTATTAGTCTAAAAAATTTTATTGTCTTTTAAAAATCCTATAAAAACAATAGATGTTAGTGATACTATCAAAGGTGTAAAAGAACATGGTAATTAAAAATATTATTCCTAACAATATTCAAATGATACACTTCAAAGATTGACGCATTTTGTCTACTTTTTTAAGATGCAGCAATTAATACAGTAATGCATAGCTATTTTAGGCCTAACACAAAGCGCAGTAGGTCTTAGCACATGAAAGTTTTATCTCATGTATATTATTTAGGCATGTAGCACTTACCATTACCCTAAATCTTAAAAAGAGTGTTATTTATGGTTGATGGAAGAAATTGGAGAACTGTGATTGTAACAATAGTAATAACAGCAAATTTTGAAAAAACATTTCAAATCTATACTCTTGATGTTTATAGTCATGTATATTAAATCATTGCCTTACCTCACATTTTGTTTCGGAAACAAATTGTTCCTGCTATCGCAGTGGAACACTGTTATTCAAAGTTCAGTTACACTTGTATTTAAATGATTGCTTAATGTCACGTAAATATTTATTCCATCCACATTTAAATTGAAGCTTTATAAATATTGTACATAAGAGAATTTTTTTGTTTGTACTTTGATATATTTGTGAATTTTCTTTTGTCTCTAACTACAAGATTTGTAACTAATTTGTCAGAAACCTAATGTTTATAGAAAGAGATGAAGAAAAATTATGTTTTCTATCAAAACATATCAACTGTCTTGTATGAAGATAGTCAATTTACGCATGCTTGTAATGTGAAGTTATATAGTTTTAGTTATGGACACTCTACACAAGAATCGTAGGACAATTTGGTAATAAAACACATAAATCTGTACATCTTCCAGCACTTTAGCTGAAAATTTTCAGTGCCAAGAAAAGATGGTGCTTACCATACCTCTTATTCAAAATGGTACGTTTTAAACACGAGAAACCTTGCTGATATGTGGATTATTAAGGGAAACGAACGTGTTTGTTGTAAGTGTGGTATTGACAAATTTTTGAACCATTATAATTGTATGTTGTTTTTGGCAGAAAGAGATGATGTGTGAGCTTCTAACAAATATTTTTTGTTTCGTATCATTAAAGCACCTAATAAAAACCACACTATTTAATTAGTTTCAGCAACGATTACTTTTCTAAAAACAAAAAAAAAAGATTTGAAGAATAGTGTTTCTACTTATTTTGAATCTAGTACAAATTGAATGACATTTTAATGGTATACTATCTTAAATTTTCTCCATATGAGTATAAATGTATGTGTTGCACCTTCTGTAGAACTTTCCATCAGTTTTAACATACAGACTAGATAAGCCTATTATACACTGCATATGTTTATGCTGTCTGGGCCAGTTACATAATAGGAAAAAATCAGTTTATTTATTCATGTACTATAGTTATTTTAATCCTTAAGAGATGAACGAAAGTTTCTGGAGCTTTTTTTTTTCCTTGGGTTGGACATGGCCCAGTAGTTAGTGTGCCGAACTGTGAATCTGAAGGTCCATGGTTGGCATTCTCATGCCTCCAAAATAAAATAGCACCTCACACTTTGGGGCAGTCAAATCCCACTTTCCAATTAGAGTTGGCAGTTGATCAGTTGTCTTCCCTGTATCAGTTTGAAATTGGGAATGGTTAGTACAGATAGGCTTTACGTACATTTACGCAAGTATCTTAAACAAATCAAATGCTCTCATTTTTTTGCAGAGAGTGAATTGGACTCTTAGATTTTTTTATTTAGTTATCTTTGTTCAGGTTACGTTTTATCTACTTTTATATAGTTTTTATAAGCATATTTTTTATATTTATAGATGTTTTCATACATGCCCAGAAATAATTAATGTTATGTAATATCAATATAATACAGTGTGTTTAGTATGAATCATGGTGTATTATTGATGTATTTTATGTTCCACTGGTATGCATACGGTTGTTATATTTTCATTTTACATATGAAAGTGATATTTAAATTTTTATACTTTACATACAGCATCCAAAGTTATGTGTATATTGTTTTATAAGTTACTGATTTATAGTTTTTAAAAAAAAAGTTAATATTTTATGTGAGGTATAATAAGAAATCTGTATTTTTATAGTCCACAATTAGGTACTCGACATTGCCCGCTACAGTAGACTTCAATTAAATAGTTGGCATATAGAGGAGGAATTTTATTCATTATGAAATGACCAGTATAACATGTATTATATATAGTTTTCACCTTGTTAATAAAGACTGTGTGTGTGTTTTTATGAGTACACATACATTATATATAGCTTCTTAAAATTCACCCAAAGAATTTCTAGTTCTTTATCTCATTTTTATTTCTTGGCCTTGCGCTAAACTGGTGGCAAAACAATACTGTAACACCACACAAAAAAACGTTAATGTTTTATATCCCGGGGTAAATTATTTGTGACATTATTATTATTAAACAAAACTACCTGTTTTGCTACAGATTTTACTTTAAGCACATCAATCTGTTTTTTAAAACACAACTGGATAGATTTTTTTATAAAATGTTAAAAACCACTGAATATTACATTAGTAATAAATACAGGTAGTGCAAGCATTTTACTAATGTTTATTTTATGAGAGTACCACCGTTCAAGATCTTTTGCTGTTATTTTTTCCATCGTGAGCCGAGCTTAATCTGATAACCATTAAAATGCATTTTTGTCAGACACTTCAGGTTTCATTTGAACAAGCTTTTGCGAATGAAAGGTCAATTTTAGACTACACGTCTTTACATACCATTCACCGTATGTGAACGTCGGCTTCCAAGGTGCATCAGTTAAGAAGTGTTGGTTAGATGGAAATGTGCTGGTATTCCAATTTTTTGTTGTTCATCTTTACCATAAACACAGTGTTGACTGCAAGGTGTGGCTGGAAGTTTGTGTCTTTTTACAGTCTTTATCAATTTCAATTCCTTGTCTGCTGTCTTATTAACACTACTGGAAGGTACGCCCAGTTTCATCACACCGGAGGTTCTCTTTCGAAACTATAGTCTTCCCTTTGTGGTTGAGGACATCCCTCCAGATTGGCTTGGCTTGAGAGTTCAAAGCATGTTACTGTTTTAAATGCTGTACTTCAAATTTCCTCCACTTCATTGAAGAACATTGAAAACTACTGTTATTAAAATGTTGAATTCTTTGGTTCTATATCATTAAATAATCTGTCTGATTATCTTTTTATCAGTGCTACACTTCACCCATGGTGCCACAGATGGCACTGCATTACTATAAACAGTTCATTATTACATGTTTGATTAATTTTGTTGGTAGTTCTGTGTCTTGTGAAAGTCTTTGACTGTTTGAATTGAAGATGAATATGACACCATGAACTGAAATAGTTTAAGTGTAGGCCTACATGATGCTAACTTAGGAGAAAGTCAACCAAAAAAACAAATAAATAAAAGGTGCAAAAACATGTTAAATTTATATGTGTGTTTAATTTTTGACTCTAATTGGCAATTTACAAAAATCATACAATATTTTTAAATTGATATGACTTTTTTAAATCTCTAGGGAGAATGAACTTGGGTGGGCCAGCACTGGCCATGGTATAACGCACGTATTTCACTAATGTTCTACAGCAGCATTTCTTAACTTTTGATGAGAAACACTATTCTAAATTATACTTTTGTACAATTGCATGTTTAGGCTGTATATGTAATTATAAAATATATATTCAACGTAAGGGCTTCATCATTCAGTTGAAGAGAAATTAAACATCCTTGAATGTTAGAGAAAAATAAAGTATTTTACCATAATATTTTATACAGAAAATGGCCCTTTTTACTCCCTAACTTTTAAGGTCACTTGAACATTAAGATGAACACGACATCTTGAAATGAAATAGCTTTGAAATGTAGGCCTACATGAAGCCAACTGTTAAAAGAGCCAAACAAACTGGTTTTTAAATTGTAAGGTCACTTGAACCTGAAAATGAATGTGACATGAATGGAAATATCTTCGAAATGTAGGCCTATTTAAAGCTAACTTAGGAAACAGCCAACCAAACTAGTCTTAAAATAATGAATTTAAAGCACATTTATAAAAACTTCCAAGAGTTATGTACCAAAACTTTTCTCAATCCAATCCTCATATCTTCTTTATACTAACTTTAATGGCAAGCAGTTTTGTACAAAAACGTAGTACAAAGTTTTAAGTGAAGCTACTAATATTAAACTGTCTTATCACAAAATTATACTAAAAAATGTTATAAATAAACTGATGATACAAAACATTCAACATTTGGTCCAATAAAAATTAAAGTTACTGAATAAATAAATTCTATCCATATAAACCTTTAAAACAGATGTATTACAAATTGCAACTGTTTATTCTAGGTTTGAAAGAAGATATTACAAAAGACTAAAAACCAGATACATAAAAAATGGGACTAGGCTGGAAACAATAGTAGACATTATTTACTCGAACTATAAACCCTATTTAGGCTCCATGCTGTTATTTAGTAATTATGTTTGGTGGTAGTACAAACGAGGGTATTTGTAGTTT